CGTAAGCCCTAAACCCTAAACCCTAGACTCCAGACCGTGGGGTTCTGGCTAGTCACAGGCACCGTAGCTAGCCGACGAGCTGGCTAGCTAGCTAGCTAGCTAGCTATCTGCCCAGCTAACTAGTTATCTAGCTAGCTAGTTATCTATCTAGCTATCTATCTATCTAGCTATCTTGCTAGCTATCTAGCCAGCTATCTAGCTAGCTATCTAGCTAGCTATCTAGCTAGCTATCTAGCTAGGTAGATAGCGAGATAGCTATCTTCCTAGCTAGCTATCTAGCTAGCTATCTTGCTGGCTGGCTAGTTAGCTGGCTAGTTAGCTAGCTAGCTAGCTATTTGCCTAGCTATTTATGTATTTGTTTATCTATTTATTTATCATTTATTTATTTATTTATTTATTTATTTTATTTTTCATTTCTCAGGTGCACATCACTTGGCTGTTGAAGGCCATGTACACCTGGAGGTAAGGACACTTAACTGCTTCTGATTTTTAATTAATTTAATTTAATTAATTTAATTAATTTAATTAATTTAATTTAATTTAATTTAATTTAATTTAATTAATTACCTTACGGGAATTAATTAATTACTTTAATCGAGTTAATGAGTTAGTTGATTAAGTATTTGATTATTTTCATCGTTATTTTCATCGTCTAATTCATTTTAACTATATAATTATTTAATTGTTTAATTGTTTCATTATTTATTTGTTTCATTAATTAAGTGATTTATCAACTAATTAATTTGAAGTGTTTGATTAATTGATTATTCAATTATAATTGTTCAATTAATTAATTAACTAATTAGTTAATTAATTAATTGATTAATTAATTAAAATTGTTTAATTAATTAACTAATTAATTTATTAATTAAACAATTTTAATTAATTAATTAAAATAGTTTAAATGTCCTTCAGGGCCCCCTCAACTTCCGCTTTTTCGTTTGGACTTTGCGAAGGCAAAATTCGAAACTGTTGGGAAGTCCAGGACAAAGAAAATGATGCAAAAAGTACTTTTGTTTTTACTTTTTAATTCTTTTAATTCTCTTCCTTTTAATTCTTTTCTTTTTTATTTCTTCTTTTTATTTCCCCCAAGTTGTCCTTTGACGCCCGCCCTGCTGCGGTGTACGTACGCTGCACGGGGGGCGGCCAAATCCAAAAAAAAGAAAATTAAAAAATTAAAGATTTTTTTGTTTTATTTTGTTTTGTTTTGTTTTGTTTTGTTTATTATTTATTTCTTTTTGTTATGTTATGCTATACTGTATTAAATAAAGATTATATTTATGTGTATTTATATATCATATATATATACATATATGTCTATATATATATATATATACATATGTCCATTTTGTATATATTATATATATTATATATATGAAGAATATACTGTACAGTACCTACTATTATATATATTTGTGTTTATGCTTATATTTATATTTATATTTATATTTTATATTTATAGTTATATTTATTTTTATTTTTATATTTTATATTTAATATTTTAATGGTTTTTGTGCATGCATTGAATTCCACTGGATGTGTAATGGAGTTGAGTGGATTTTAATTTGTTTGAATGTTTAATTTGTTTTTAATTTATTTTTAATTTGCCTTTAGTTTGTTTTTGATTTATTTTAAATTTATTTTAAATTTCTTTTAAGTTTATTTTTAATTTATTTTTAATTTGTTTTTGTTTTTAATTTATTTTCAATTTATTTAAATGTTTAATTTGCTTTTAATTGTTTCAATTTGTTTTCTGTGTTTGTGCAGGCGATTTGTTTAAATCCGTAATTCCGAAAATAAATAAATACCTGGCAAAGCTGCAGCAAATGTACAAAGCCCAAATCACCCAGAGCCTGCAGGGGCCCCTGAGGGGCCCCCTGTTGGACTTGTCGGGGGCCCCCCTTGCAGCTCAGGAAGAGGGAAAAGAAGAAATAAAAGAAATAAAGGAAGAAGTAAAAGAAATAAAAGAAGAAATGAAAGAAGAGGAGACAAAAGAAACAATGGAAGAGGATGAGAAGCAGTGGGAGGAACTTTGGGAAGAAGGCTTTCGAGAAATTGGCGAAAACAGCAGCAGCTGAGGTGTACGTACACCTGAGCTGCATGCGCAGTTGGGGTGTATGTACGGGCTCAGCTAAACAGACACCTGGAAAGCTCCCGGCTTTTAAATTATATCTCCTAATCATTTTATTTGTTCTTATTTTCCTTATTCTCCGGATTTTCTCCATCTTTTCTTCTTTTTCTCGCCGGCCCGGAGCCGCGAGAGCTGTCTGTGCAGCGAGAGGTGTCTGTACACCCGAGGCCGACCCTCTCGGGGACCCCCCAGTCCTCTAGAATAAAAGGAAATACACCATCAAATGATTAATTATTTGTTTTTACTTTCGTTTTTAAATTAATGGGGCTTTCAGCTGCCGAAAATAAAGGAGCAATTGCTCAAAAACGAAACAAAAAGCCTCACAGGGAGCGCACAGAGCTCTCTTTGCTGGCGACGGCTCAAGCCCAAATAAATGAGCAAATAAACGAATTAGCAATTAATTAATTGGTAAATTAATTAAAAAATAAAAGGATTGAGTAGATAAATAATTCAAAAAATAACAAATCAAAATCGAAGAAAACACCTCACTGTACACCTGGCGAGCGCTCCCAGGTGTCTGGGGTCTTCAGAGAAAGCGGAACAAAAGGCCAAAGAAGACTAAAGAGATTTAAAATTAGTAAAAGTGAATAAATAAAAGAATTAAATTAAAAAAAAGAATTATAATTCATTTTAAATTCAAGTTTCAGCCCCGCGCCCCACAGGTGCATGCATGCGTCGTCGGTGCGTTTCTGCTCTCTTTCTTCTTCCTCGAAATCCCCCAAAACAAAAAAGGCAATTAAATTTCTTTTCTAATTTTATTTCTTCCCCAGCGCCAGCAGGCCGTGGGGCCGCAGCAGCAGCAGCAGCAGCAGCAGCAGCGGCGTTGCAGCAGCAGCAACAGCAGCAGCAGCAGCAGCAGCAGCAGCAGCAATATATATATTTATCATATTTCCGGCTTTTTCGCCTTTTCTAAACACTTTCTTAGGGGGCGCTTCAAACCCTAGCTCGGCGGACGCTGAAAGCTAAACCCTCGCCAAACCCTAAACCCTAAACCCTAAACCCTTGCGGGCTTTTTTCTTTCTCCGCAAACCCTAAACCCTGGAAAACCCCAAACCCTCGCAGCTCTGCTCCCGCCGGATCCAGCGGGGTCCGCGAAACCCCAGTCCCTCCCAAGTCCCAAACGCTAAACCCCAAACGCTAAACCCCAAACCCTAAACCCTAAACCCTAAACCCTAAAATGGATCCCCAGGCTCTGAAGAAATTAGGAGGGTTTGGCGCTGTGGCCCTCGCGGGGGTTGCGGGGGCTGTGGGGCTCTTCAACACTTCTCTCTACAACGGTAAATAAATAAATAAATAAATAAATAATAAATAAATAAATAAATAAATAAATAGATTAATTAATTATAAATGGTCCCAAACCCTAGCTCAAAGCGCGTTAGGGTTTAGGGTTTGCAGTTTGCTGCTTAGGGTTTGTAGCCTTGCCGTTCGCCCATTCCCTGCTGCTGCTGCTGCAGCTGCTGCTGCTGTTCCCCCCGCTGCTGCTGCAACTAATACCGCTGCTGCTGCTGCTGCTCCCCTGCTGCTGCTGCTCCTCCCCTGCCGCTGCCGCTGCTGCTGCTCCGCTGCTGCCCGTCGGCCTGCCGCTGCTGCTGCTGACCCCCGCCGCCGCCGCCGCTGCTGCTGCTGCTGCTGCTGCTGCTGCTGCTGCAGTGGAGGCCGGGCACCGGGCCATCGTGTACAACCGGCTGCGGGGCATCAGCAGCAAAATATACTTCGAAGGAACTCATTTTTGTTTTCCTTTTCTCGAAAGGCCAATCATTTACGACGTCAGGTCCAGACCCCGAGTCCTCACGAGCCTCTCGGGCTCCCGCGGTAGGGTTTAGGGTTTAGGGTTTAGGGTTTGGGGGTGGGGTTGGGGTTGGGGTGCGCTGCTGCCTCCCCGCGCTGCTGCTGCTGCTGCTGCTGCTGCTGCTCCCCTCCGACCGCCTGCGCATCCCCTCCCTGCCGCTGCTGCTCCCCCACCGCCGCTGCTGCCGCTGCTGCTGCTGCTGCTGCTGCTGCTGCTGCTGCTGCTGCTGCAGACCTGCAGATGGTGAGCATAACGTGCCGGGTGCTGTCGCGTCCGGACGAGGGGCGGCTGCCCGAGGTGTACAGACAGCTGGGGATGGACTACGACGAGAAGGTGCTGCCTTCGATCATTAATGAAACTTTGAAATCAATTATTTCTCAGTTCAATGCAAGTCAGTTAATAACTCAAAGAGACGCCCTCAGCAGCAGAATCCGCGAGCAGCTCGTCCGCAGGGCCAGGGACTTCAACATTCTCCTCGACGACGTCTCCCTCGTAACCCAAACCCTAAACCCTAAACCCTAAACCCTAAACCCTAAATTGGGGTTTGGAGACCCCCGGGCCCGCGCCCGCCTCCTGGACGGGCGGGCGGGCTGAGCCACCGGCCCCGGGCAACTCGGAAGCCCACTCGGCGACGGCGTGCGGGGCTCCGCAAACCCTAAACCCTAAACCCTAAACCCTAAACCCTAATTCGGCGGTTTCGCCGCGTCGCTTTCGCCGCCTTCGAAACCCTCCTAGAGGCTTCAGAGAGTCCCAAACCCCACCGCAGCCGCAGCCGCAGCCCTAAACCCTAAACGCTAAGCCCCGACGCCAAACCCAAACGCTGACCCTAAACCCTAAACCCTAATTTGGTGTTTCAGACGCACCTGAGCTTCTCGCCGGAGTACGAGCGGGCCGTGGAGGCCAAGCAAGTGGCGCAGCAGCAAGCAGAGAGAAGCAAATATGTTGTCTTGAGGGCTTTGGAGGAAAAGAAAAGCACCATCATCAAGGCCCAGGGCGAGGCCGAGGCTGCCAAACTCGTCCGCGAGGGTTTAGGGTTTAGGGTTTAGGGTTTAGGGTTTGGGAGGGGGGGGGCGCGAGTTTGGGCGCGGCTGGGCGTTTTACGGGGGCTTTAGGCTTTGTAGAAGCGGCGGGGCACTGGGAGAGGGTTTGGGGTTTGGGGTTTAGGGTTTGGGGTTTAGGGTTTGGGGAGGGACGGAGTTTGGGGTTTGCTGGGGATTTTCGGGGTTTCTAGGGTTTGTAGAAGCGACGGGGCACTGGGGGAGGGTTTAGGGTTTAGGGTTTGAATTCACATCAGACACGGAGATACAAAGCCCTTGCGCCTTGGGTTCTAGGGTTTAGGGTTTAGGGTTTAGGGTTTAGGGCGTGTGGTGCATCTCTCGCGTTGCCTGGCTGACCTCTTTTCGCTTCTTTCTCAAGACAGATCCTCTCCTGACTCTTTTAAATAAATAAATTAACTAATTTATTATTTATTTATTTATTTATTTATTTATTTATTTATTTATTTATTTATTTCAGATTGGATCTGCAATAAAGAGCAACCCGGCCTTCCTGGAGCTGCGGCGTATAGACACCGCAAAGGAAGTGGCCCAAACCCTCGCCCGCAGCAGCAACAAAATTCTTTTGTCTTCAGAAGCCCTTTTGCTAAACCTCGCTGTGTAAACCCTAAACCCTAAACCCTAAACCCTCGCGCGCCCCAAGCCCTCCACTCGCCGCGGGGTGTCTGAACCCTAGGGCCTGCAGAAGTCACCGGCGAAATTGAGCCAGGAGAAGCAAAGAGAGCCCTTTCAGGGTTTAGGGTTTAGGGTTTAGGGTTTAGGGTTTAAAGTTTGTGTTTGCAGGGGAAAGAATTTTTCGACGGAGTACTTGAGCGCGACAAAATAAATGTTGCTGAAGAAATTAAAAGCGCAGAAAACAAATAAACATATTATAATAAATTCGAAATTAAATTAAAATTAATTTAATTTAATTTAATTTAATTTAATTTAACTGAATTCACCATAGACAGCAAATAAAACAAACGAAGGGGCCCTCAGGTGGGGCTCATGTTAATTGGGGGCAGCCCGTCGCAGCAGCTGCTGCAGCAGCAGCAACAGCAACAGCGGCAGCAGCAGCAACAGAAGCAGCAGCAGCAGCAGCAGCAGCAGCAGCAGCAGCAGCAGAAGCTGCAGCAGCGGCAGCTGCTGCTGCTGTGGGCTTCTTTGTGGGGCCCCTCTGGCGTTTTCTTTCTCTCAACTCTTTCTCTCTTATTATTTTATTTAATTTGCTAATTTTATTTACTTCATACATTTAATTAATTT